GTGGCCAGGACGTCATGTCGTCGACCGGAGCAGCAGTGACTAAGAGCAAAGATGGTGTTCCGCAGTGGTCGGGGGAGCCTTCGACCTTCACGGAGTATGAGGAGCAGTGCCTGTTGTATGAGCAAAGTGTGCCTTACCATAAAAGGTACATGGTGGGTCCCCGACTCATTGGGGAGCTGCAGGGGCCAGCCAAGCGCTTGGTTCTGGGAAAGCGGCCAGATTGGGTGAGCTACCCTGGAGGGGTTCAGGAGCTTCTGAACACACTCAGGGCGAGCTTGGGACCCCCACAAGTCTCAGAGTTGGCAGATTACCTCACCCGATACTTCCGCCAGACAAGGAGGAAGAGCCAGGAGACGATGTCCGATTACATCACGAGGAAGTGTGAGGTGTATCTACGTGCACAACAAGCTCTACGTCGGGTGCTACCACATCAAGCCAAGACGGAGAGGCCCCGGTGGAGCACCGGAAGGGCTATGCCGTGGAGCTGGAGCCGACGGGGAAGCGTGGACTCCACCGGCAGCTTGGCCCCCCGGTCCGCAGCCCCGGTTTCCGAGCCAGGATCGGAGGCCGCGGAGCCTCACGACAACTCCGAGGCACAGGAGCCATCCGAGGAAGGCACGAGTTGGAGCTGGCATGGATGGGGTGGCGGCTGGTCTTGGGCAGGAGAACCGTGGGGAACAGAATGGAACTGGCAGCCAGACTACCAGTACTCCACCTACGGAAGTGAAACATCGTGGACGACTCTCCAAGACAGCTCAACGACACCGGCAGAGATTCTACCAGACTTCATCCAAGGATGGTTTCTCCTCTTCGACAGCGGCCTCAACTCCACCGAGCGGAACCTGATCCACACGGCGGTGCAGGGGAACTACGCGCTACAGAATGTGGCCCGTGAACTACGGGCGCAGTGGGATGAGCACAACCTACGTCAACGAGATGGGCACCGTACACAGACGGGCTACCTCGGGGAAATGGACGAGGACATTGAGGATTCAGAGGTGGAATTCCAGCAGGGTTACCACGCGGAGGACTTGAACGAAGAGGGCCAGGCCTTAGTGGCCGAGGCTGAGGAGGAGGCCCAGCAGGCGCTCGCCATCCTCCAGAATGCCAAGAGGACACTAAAAGAGGCCAGATCTAAGCAACACCAAGTGAAGATGTCCCGCCAGTACTTCAAGACCTCCAACAACAGCTTCCGACCCGGCGGAGCTCCTCGGACATCCTCGACGTTCGGTTCGGCCCCGCGGACATGGACCCCCAATGACGCCCACATGCAGTGCTTGAAATGTGGAAAGACCGGCCATCGGGCAGCCAATTGCCCCCAGAAGGAGCAGCACGCCAAGATGTCAGATGAGAGCGCCGAGTCCGCCCCGTTCATCTGCTTTGGAGAGACCTCAGTGGTCAGTGAGGCCCAAGAAGCAGCACTTTCGGCCCACGAGTGGAGCGAGATGGACATGACTACGGACGAGGCCATGCGCCGCGGATGGTGTGTGGTAGACGGCGGCGCCACCAAGACCTTGGGGAGCGTGCGAGCAGTCCAGAGCGTTTTGGACTGCAACCAGGCCGAAGACGGGAACACGAAGCTCCTGGGCGTGGATACAAGCCGGCAGCCGACATTCTCTTTCGGGAATAGTTCTGAGAACAGGTGTGTGTCAACGGTGGAAGTTGGCATTCGAGCAGGTTCCAAGGACGGCCGCCTCACCATCCACGCTCTGGACCAAGGGTCCGGACCAATCCTCCTGAGTGTGGCCTCATTGCGAGCACTGGGAGCCATCATCGACTTCAGCAACGACCTTATCGTGTTCCGGGCGATTGACCCATGCCGTGTGATCAAGGCTCAACGCTCTCAGAGCGGACATCAACTTTTGCCACTGAGTGGCGACATGTACGCACAGTCGGAGGTGGCCAATTGCGCCATCCCGGATTTGAAGTCCTTTTTGCACTAGGGACAGCTCCTTCCGCTGTCTGAGCCTGAAAGACCGTGGAAGGACTCATGTGTAGAGTCAGGCAACTGTAGGACTGAACAACAGTCAGCAGGGAGTAGGAACCTTTTCAAAGAAGCTAGTAGGGATAGTGAGAGTAGGGACTCTAGGGAATTTTTCTCTTCTTCAAGCCAGCAGAAGTGCCACGCGGAAGCCAACCACCACAAGGACATGAGCGAGATCTACAGCAGCACTTCGGGCCCAAGCACCAGAGCCAAGGTTGAGATTCCGAAACAGCATGTCGATCAACAACATGAAGAAGCAGGAGCTCCAGGAGCTTCTACGCAAGAAGGGCGAGGCGCCGCCAGAGCGATGGACCAAGCTGGAGCTACGCCAGCGCTTGATCGAGCTGGATCCAAAGCTGGAGGAGGCCTCCTCCTCGAAGAAGAAGGAGACAGAGCTGCAGCAGTGGGTGCACAAGATCAACAAAGCCAGCACCCGCAAGAGCCACCTGGTGGCCCTGTGCGAGACAGAGATGGCTCTGCCCCTAAAGGGAACGGAGACGGTGGCCCAGATGGAACGGCTGGCCCTGCAGCACGCCTATCGTGTGGCTACGCCGGCCGCTGCGGATGTTGTGGGGTTCGGGAAGTTCTCCACGCTGGAGTACCAGGACATCAACCGCTACCAGCCGGGCTACCGCGAGTGGATCCTCAAGACCGACGCCGAAAGCACCGAGTGCGATTTCAGGCTCAAGCGCCTGGCGATGTGGCTACGGGCCAATCCGCCGATGTCCAAGGACAAGAGCATCGAGGACCTCTTGACGGAGAATCACAAGAGTGTGTCCATGGCGGGGATCGAGAACCAGAGCGCTACGAGTTCCACGGCGCCGACCGAGAAGGGCCAGATCATGCAAGTGCTACAACAACTGGCTGGGGCAGTCCAGACTCTCCAGGAGGAAGTGACCGAGATGAAGGAAGAGCGACCTCGCCGCAAGGAGAGCCGCAAGCCGCACTCCGACGCCACATCGGAGGGCTACCAGAAGGTCGAGCCCCAGTGAGCGAAGGCAACTCAGATGTACAGGCTATGGACTATCAGGCCCAAGGCACCCAATTGAGTGCTGGGAGGGCCAGTCAGCTTGAGACGGCATCATGGGAGTTGGTTCCGGGTTTGTTTCAAGCTTTAGTGTCCTATGGGAGGCCTGTGTTGATGGAAATTGGATGTGATGCCAGTAGCCTGTTGTCCAGTTGTGTGCAAGAGCAGACAGGCTGGGCAGAAGCTGCCCAGCGATTGTCCACCTGGAACGGGGCGGACATGAGCACTAGTGAGGGTGTGAAGTTCATTTTGGAAAGGCTTGGGACGGAGCGCCCAAGTGTTGTCTGGATGGCCCCGCCGTGCGGACCGTTTTCTCCCTTACAAAACGCCAATGCCCGGAGCCCCGAGCAAAAAGAGGAGTTACAACAGAAGCGCCAGTGGGCTCAGAAAGC